TATCTATCGCCAAATATCATCGTAATTATCACAATAATTCAAAACTTTCAAAAAACTGATTTTTTTCTAAATTCCCAACAAATAGATTATTTAAAAAATATCGAATTTGAAATTTGAAAAAAAAAGTTTTATAAAAAAATTTATTTTTCAAAATTTTAAGAAACTCTTAAATATAAAATGAATGGATAACAAAATTTGCAGAAAATATTTATAATGACCTATTTCAAAATATTTAAAACAATTGTTATTAATAATTGAATAATTGTTATTAATATTTGTTGATTATTGATCATTTTTATTCTTCGAATATTAAAAAACCGCTAGTTTTACATTCAAATATGAATTGAGAAAATCAGTATTTGCCGAACGTGCATACACATAGATATATTTTTTATAGACGCAATTTTTACAGCAATCAGAACTATTATGTGTTCTATAAGGTGTACTGACTGCTTATTATTAAAATGATGGTGTTGTTAGTAGGCAATCCAATGATTGTCCTTACTCTATCTCAGATATATTATAAATTTTTATACTGGACGCTATTAGAAGCCAAGCCCCGGTCGTCATTTTAATTGGTGTATTGTAGTATTGCCGGATTAAGGGCTACTTTCACTTGGAAACATAGTGCTATCTATATTTCCAAGTGAAAACAGTTGTCACTACTGCTTGACAACAGGCTGTTCGAAGCGGATATCGAATCCGGGACGTCGGAATCAAGTCGCGTCGCTCTTAACCGCTTACCTATGGGCACTCACTGTATACTGCTCCTTGACGATTATTCGGATTTTGATAAATCTTTCTGAAGTTTATTAAGGAAATTTTCTAGGATGTATGTGATTATAAAGTACTGGTATGTTTGTGCAATATTGTAGAAATAAACGGAACAAATTGCAAAAATCGACATGTCATTGTTTGCATTGAAAATAAATGAAAACTATTATCTGCCAAAAATTTCAATTTATTTATGAACCTCACAATATGTATAATAAATTTATGATTATGAATAAGAAAAATGAAATGTCTACATTATTATTGCCAAAAAGCAGCTGAGATGTGCCAGAAATTAAAATAATATAAAATACAGTATATGTATGACAGATTGAATGATACACATATGAACAAATACGACAAATTAATTCACTTAAAATATGAAATTAAGTATTAATCAGGGCCGGTCCTACCTTTAATGCGATGCATGCAAAAAATACGAGTGCACGCCTTAGGGGGCGTCAACACAAGATTCGGATATGAAATTTTCAATATAGTTTTTTTTCATTATATAATTTTTTTGCATCTTTTACTAATCTTTCCACAATATTTTTAAAATTCGTAAAAATTTCACTTCATAACAATAAATGAGAAAGTAAAGATGAATACATACAATTCGGCCCTCACGATATCGATTAGGAGAAGTTTAAGATGCAATTTTGGATATCTTAAACAATAAAAAATTAAATTAATTTAATCCAACATGAAGTACCAGTGTTATGTTATGGTTATGGTTATGTTATACCGTTTAAAAGACTTCAATTTCCGATATGGTGTGGGAATTCATCATTTTATTTAAAGCAGTTCTACATTTATCATATTATAAATGTATATGTATTTTGCGTAAAGAGTAATTTAAAAAACAATAATTATTATTTTTAGGTAAACGGTAAATATTAGTATATTACATTATATTAAAAAATTGTAGACATGGGTACAGAACAATGTCTGTCGGGTCATCTAGTAAGAATATAAATATAAATATATTTATTATTATGTATAACAAAATAATTTCACGAAACTATAAAATTAATAATAAACATATATAAATATAAATATATTTATTATTATGTATAACAAAATAATTTCACGAAACTTTCAGTGCACTTTCTGATTTTATCTCAATATAATATACATAAATATAATATAATATAAACATAAAAATATAAGTAAGTACATGTGCATATACCTAATATGGTTCTCGTCTAAGGTGTGTTTTATATTCTCATATTCTAAACGTACATATTGTTTTTTTCTCAAAATATATATTTGTACGGAATCTTTAGTGCATGTTCGACTAACACTGATTTTCCGTCATGAAAATACTATGGAGCCATCTGTTGGGAAAATAGCAGTGTCGCTTTTCAATTTTCGGAACTCAAATGAAAGTCGTAGGTATGACAGATTTAGAATTCCTTCGGACTCGCCTGTTTTCCCAACGAAATACACACCTACCTCTCAGTTTAGTTAAAGACGCGGCCTGACAAGGATGTTGTAGTTAAATTCTTTTAAAAAAATCTATAAATTTTTTCCAATTAGTCAGCAATTAGCATTAACTGTAACATAAAATTACAAACAATCGGTGGAGTAACAAACTATAACATAAAATCATAAAAAATTGTGTAAATGTAAATGGAAGTTTAAAAACAGTGTTCTGATGACATGTGACAATGTGTTTTTGACGTGTACGTGAAATCAGTAAATAAACACGCCGGAATCGATTGTATGAAAGTTTCTGATTATTAAATCATTAAATCAAAATCAAATAAGATTTTTAACATTTTTATTGCGACACCCCAGTAATCACGTAAAACCTACACCTAAATCTATGGGAACATATTGATGTAAACAAATGACGTGATGTTTGATTATATTAATTGTAAATGAATTGAATATATATATATATATATATATATATATATATATATATATATATGCAAATATAAGTACATTTTTCCACTTTTGTAGTTACATTAATGCTATAAAATATTATGAAACCATTCATCATATCAGACTTAAAACTTATTTTTTATTGTTAATATTAATATTAATAATATTAATAAGTGTTCCAATTCAAAAAAGTTTTATATAAGATATTTTCCATTGCTATTTCTCAGCACAGTGTCTGAAAGCGCTATTTCAATTGCAAGCATATTTTAATCTACTTACATATAGCAAAAATGCTATATATATATATATATATATATATATACCGGATTTTATAGTTTCAACACACTTTTTCTAAATGCATAGGAAAAGATAAGTGTATTGAAACATAGGAGTTGTTAGTCTAATAATATAACGTTTTAACTAATTTAAGTTAAACCTGTTCGGTTCATATTGATTCGGATTAGGCCTTTGTAGTAATTATATGGATATATAACAATTTTTAGACACACATTTTCATACACTTTAATAGCTAGTTTTATACCAATTATTTACACTTACAATATTGCAAAGTTAACAAGAAACAAAATAGTGAGGTATTCAACTTTCATCGATTTGTTGATTTCATAGAATTTATACTATTATCGTTTAATAGTTGTTTGACAATTTAAATATTTATTCAACCATGATTACAAATAATGACGGACGAAATCATTAATGACCTATTCATGAATTAGAATGAATTTACAGTAATTATACAGCACAGCACATTGATAAATTATTCACGACCATCCCTCGACCCTCAGCTCTCATCTAGTTCAATTAATGACAAAATTATTTATCCTCAGGAGCGTCGTTTCATGGTATCTATTAATAATTCACTTTTCTTCAAGTCGTCTTCAACGAGTTTTAAAGGAATTAAAAATAACAACTGTTTCAATGTTCGCAACATCTTTATTTTTAGAATTCGTGTCGATGATGAATTCGATCAAGAACGAAAACTTGCAAATAAAATGAAGCTCTCATTTTTACAAGATGGAGTAGGGGAGACTGGGTATGATTGTGCCACTTGTTTTTTGATCTGCCATAATTTTGTTAATTTACCAGTTAGCTGGGAGAAAAGTAAATTAAATTGTAATTTGAACATTTGTCTACGTGGAAATACAGAAATACTGTCCTTAAAGTCAGTTCGCTCACACACCTGATCAGAACATGTATAATATATATATATATATATATATATATATATATATATATATATATATATATATATAGCTTTTAAATGCAACCTGGAACTCGGGCCATTTTTCGGTTATTGTGGTTAATTTTCATTAATTTTGTTGATTTAAGCTTTGGATCTGTAATCATAAACAAAAATTAAGATATGTTCACAGTAAAAAATATTGGTACAATTGGTTGAAGTTTTCAAGAATTAACTTTTTGTTGAACTAGGAATGTAAAATTTTCAAACTTTGTTTCAACTTTGAGAGACTGCCCTTTAAAGAATGCACCAAAGTGAAGAAATTTCATCAAAATTGATAATTTTATGATAAAAAAATTGAGTATAAATATAAAAACCTAAAAAAAAACACGATAACGGCTAACGCATTTCGCTCAAGGTCTGCTCACATATTTCTCTCTCAAAAATTGAAGCTTGTGCGTTCAACAAACATTTGAACTGATTGTGAGTAAAATGCATTAGAAAAATCATGTTATTTTTAGGTTCTCATTTTTTGAAAACTAACCACAATAACCGAAAAATGTTTACATTTTCACCAAAGGTTGCACTTACATAAAAGCCCTTCATGTCCAAATACCGTGATTTTTTTTTATAAATTTTATTAACCAGATGCGTAATATTTTAGATTAGCCTGTCTTTTTTGTGAGTACTTAACTTTGTTACTTCCTTGAATTTGTTATTGATTTTAACTATGTATAAAATTGTTTCGAAAATGTATGTAATTATAAATACAAATATGCTTGCATGAGTAAATAGACAAAAGTAAATAGTCGATTAATTGTGCTGACTGTGTGTCCATCTCATGTAATGAATTTTCCTACCCATGTAGAGTTTTCGTGCTTAATAAATGATCAAACTATTAAGACTAAAGCAAGAAAAAAGTAAACAGCAAATAGAAAACTTGCGTATTATATAAACATTGGTATTGCAAGAGTTAATAGCAAGTAGTGATCGGAAATGTCCAGCCGAACAGCGACGAGCGGCGCAGGAGGCCGGAGCCGCGGCACGGGAGGCGGTTGCTCGAGTGCCGCTGCCTCTCAGCGCAAACACCGCTCGAGGTCGAGCACGCGATGTCCGGACGTCGAGAAGCCGAAGAAGAAAAAGCAATTGACGGCTGCCACCAGTTTAGTATCGATACCAAACACTATTAAATTATCGATGCTCAATAGTGGACTTATATCATTCGGTGAGTAGAATGCTTTTTTAATTTTATTTTTTTATCTACTTATCGTTTTTTGAGATTTGTGCTTTGTAACCATCTTCCTTTGTTTCATCATTATGTTGTTTGACGTTTCTATATTAAAAATTATCTACTATCATAAATTTTAGCAATTAGGCCTAAAAATAGAAAAATTGATGACCTTAATACGCCATGTATTAATTTACAAACACATTTTACGTGATACGAAAATACGAATTCAAAAACTAAATGATTCGAATTTGGAAAAAAATGTGATTCAATTCAACTCGAATCATGTCTATATATATGGACAAATAAAACCCAAGACAAATATTCATCGTTGCATTTATTTAGTAAATGTGATCAAACTTTATGAAAAAATTTTTAGTTTTACCAATATACCCGACAACGTAAAGATTGTAAATATAAATTACTATCATAATAAAGTACAAAATAATTAAAAATGATTTAATTTTAAAGAAGGTTGAAATATATTTTCAAATAACTTTGAATAATAAAGAACCAAAAGCTTCTGCATGATTAAAGCATGTTAAACAATATTTGGAATTCTTGTCTATATTCTTGTTATGTTGAACATAAAGTTGTTGATAAAGATTACTATTATTTATTAATATATGATACCAGTGCGCCTGAAAATTCCATTCCGTTTTAAAGAAAAGCACATTTTTTTGGCAAAATTATTTCTTTTCTTTAACATATTTGCTTTCGAAGACGATATACTGATTATAGCGAACTTTCAACTTTTTAATACCATTTTTGTAGTACAATTTGTCCTTTATCCCAAAAATCGTTGATTATCTCTTCATTCGACAAACATTTCTTCGCAGCGTGCATATTTTTCGGATCTGAGAGCACGAAATTGTCGCTGGGTAAGAGATCTGGAGAAGACGGTTGGTGGCGAAGCTATTCGCAGCTCAATTAAAGTAGTTTTACCACTGTTTTCACTGATTTGTGACATGTTGGGTTGTCCTAATGAAGAAGCACCTTTTTCTTCTTCAAATAAGGCCGTTTTTCGATTAATGTCTTACAATAGTCACTGTTATTTCTGGTTTTAGTCAAGATAAACGATGAAGATCATTTTTGCGTATACAAAAAAAAAAAACTCACGTCATAACCTTGCCATCTGATCGATTTCATTTTTCCTCGTTTGTCTAGTCCACTCAGCTACTACTACCACTCACTATTGGAGTGTTCTGAATCTACTGAATTAACATATAGTCTTTAAATCACATATTTATTATCAAAATTAAGTATTAATTAATATTCAATAAACAATTTTGCTGTCGGTGTTCGGTCTAATAAACAAACTTGATGAAACTTGATAAGCATACGCTTTGGTTAGATTTTTGATACGATCGACTGAGCCGTTCTTTGTATTAGCAGAAAAGTGAAAAATTTTCTCGCTCACTTTTTAGTCTAAAATTCTGAATCTATTTTAACAACTCAATAACTATTCGAAAGATATTTTTTGGGAGTCGTGCTGATTAATTTTGGACTAAGATCAGTCGAGTCGTTTCTTTGTAATTAACTGTTGAAAAATATGTTTTCGATGAAATTTTTGATTTTGATAGATAATATAGATATCATAATTTCAAAGATCGTACTAAAATTTTACAGCCATACGGCAAGTAGTATAATTTTAAAAATTCTTCATAGTTTGAAAAAAGTTGCTTTTGTGATATGATAAGTCAATTGTTAATTCAGTAAAATATGGAATAAAATACTACAATTTTTGGACGTATAAACAGGTGTTTTTGCATTATCAATATTACTCGTATAATTACAAATAATTTATGACATGTGTTACATAAAATTCAATTGGAAATCGTAATCTAAGATTTAATTAAAAATGAAAACTTTGTTTTTGGAATAAACAGTTGAGAATTTTATCTAAATATCTGAATCTCAATTAAGATGGATTAAGTTAATTACAATTTTCGGAAAGTTCGTGCAACTAAAACAAAATGCCACTTTTTTTGTTGAAGCCCTATTTTTAAGAATTATTATAGTAATTACATATTTTTTTATCTCGATTTCTGTCGGTGGACAGAAATTTTGAATTTCAATTGAAATTTCCCGTACTGGTATTTTAATGATATTTTATTATCGATCCATTAAGAAAGTACCAGTCTGGCAGTCATCTCGCGGTTGCGTCATCTCTTCAATTTTTTTTTTTTTTTTTTTATTTATTTATTTATAGCAATCAAGATACAATTTATCTTATAAACTATTATGACACAATGGAGAAAGAAAAAAAAATATAATAAAAATAATAACAATAATAATAATAATAATGAATAAATAAATAAGTAAATAAAAAATAATATTAATAATTATATTAAAGAAAAAGAAAAAAAAAAAAATAATAATAATTAATAGAGTTCACTCCAATGAGTGAAGCCTAGTGTTTCATTTAAGGTCGCTTGGCCAACATCTTTTCAATCTTCTTAGTGATGAAGAGCCGATTAAAGAAGCAATGAGCTGGTTGTAGTGACACTCAATTTTTGAGAGGTAGATCGAGCTTCTGTCCTTGATGACATCTGTGACGTAAGGAATATCTAATTCTTTATGAATAGCATGGTTAGTTATGTACCACGGTGCGTTGACTATATTTCTTAGTATTTTGTTTTGACATCTTTGCATCATTACTATATTGGATTTGCTTGCGCATCCCCATAACTCGATACCGTAAGTCCAAACGAGAATTTTTAAAAATGTCAAAAAATTTGTTTTGTAACTTGCTCCCACAAGGCTCAAATTTTGAGGGTGTATTCTTTTAACTGTTCAAAAAGTATATGTAAACAGCCAGACCATTCTGATGGTTGCAAGGAGTCAATGTGTTCTACAAAGATTCGAACAATATTTGCAGTACTAAAAGAAAAAATAATAGTTCAAAAGTTTCTGAACATTTTGGCATACCTTAAAAAAATGAATATATGTTTGTTTTTTTATGCATTCCAGACTGGTGTTTTGTCTGGGTATGTCTGACTCAATACCGCCCGGGTATAATACCGACTAAAACCTCCGCTTTGCTCTTGCCTCTGGTCCCCACGGAAACAGCCGTTAGGTTACTTCGTGGGGGAGGATCTGGAATGTCAAAATTCTTACCTCGATTTTATATTTAGCTTTTAATTGTGCAAAGTCCCATTTGCCTTTTCTCTTTTTATAGAACGCAGGTCAATTAGCACATCTTTCGCAAATCTGGACTGTTGCTGCCATCGGCCAATGTCGAAGCATCCTCACGAAGTGAGAATGCTTTGTTCTCTCAAAAACGTGATTTCTATTTGCTGCACTTTTTGCTTTTTATCTCCGTAACGGCTTGACCTGTCTTTACCAAAAACTAATCAGCACATCTCCCTTTCAATAGGAATCGAATGTTTTTTGAACTATTCAAATCTTCAAAACGTGGAGAAATGCAAACATTTTCATTTTCGATTTTCGGTTCATTGCTATAACTACCGTACGGGAAGTTAATAATATTTCAAAATTCATATTTTCGGGAAATTACTTCCGTTAAGTTTGCACTGACAATGAATGTAGCAATAAAGTGTATATTATTTACAGATTTATGTTTCTTTTAATTTACTTTCACTTTGGCACTTGTCATAGCTGCTGGTTTCATTAAAAATTTATTTTGGCTACTTTTGGTTTTCACACAACTTTTTGGTCTAATTCACGAGAATGCTATTATAAGAGAATACTATATAATGTATAATTTTTTTGTATATTATTTAATAGAACAATACAGTATTATATTATAAACTAGTAGTGCATGGCATCGTGCCTTAAGGCAAATTGCTGGAACTTCCCGTGTTGTAATGAAATGATCGAGGAATATTAAATGTTTCCAAATACATTTTTATAAATATTGTATCCTTGTCTAATATTTATAAGAATTATATAAACTGAATTGCAAAGTTGAAATTATTTATTTAAAGTTTATTAAAAAAGATTTAAAATTAAAATCTGAATTATTTTTGAAATACAAAAAAAAAATTGCGGACGTACAAAACACACACACACATCCATTTTTTCTTAGGTATGCCAAAATGTTCAGGAATCTTCAAAACGTCGAGAAATGCAAAAATTTTCATGTTCGATTTTTGGCCCATTACTATAACTATCATACGGGAAGTTAATAATAGGGTAGAGCAGGGCTTAAAGACTCTCGGGTAAAAAGGAGTACTGCCCATATCTCAAAAACCAGTGAAACTAAGAAGTTTTCAACATCAATACTTGAAAGTCGAGGCAAAATGTATATAACCAACCATGGTCTTGATTTTTATGACGTTGCTATCGGGTGATAAACGGCAATGTTTGAAAATCCATAACATAAGTATTTTCTTTTATTTTTATTTTATTTGTATTGGCATAATGAAGTACCGTTTAAATTTTTGCGAAGGCAGGTCTAGCGGCTTCACAGATCGAGTGAAAAAAATAAAAAAAACGCCATTTGGCTGTCAAAAATGATCATTAGACATATGTACATCAAATTATCAGATATTTTATAAAGATTTTAATAATAAGTATGAATTTGGTTACATTTTTCTGGGTTTAGTACCAATGTTTATCCGAGAGACTGCGATTGCTTTGAAAAAAGTTCAAAATATTCAGAAAAATTCAAGGTATAGAAAAAATAAATTTTTTCAAAAAAGTATTTTTCTTAAAAATTACAAAATTTTGAAAAAAATTTTTTTTTAAGTTCTCAAAAAATCTAAAAATTCTTTCAAAATTTTTGGTACGGGAAGTTCCAGCAATTTGCCTTAAGGCACGATGCCATGCACCACTAGCTTTAAGTCAGATTCAACCGTTTTTTATTTGACCTCTATAAAGGCTTACACCTGGGTTAATGAAAACTTTACTGAATCAAATTTGTAGAAAATAAAAAGTAGTAAATAAAAAAGTAAATTAAATTAAATAAAACAATTTTACAATTTATAACTGAGTTATTCCAACTCAGCTGATGAATATTTCTGACAAAATAC